CAGTTATCAATGGGCATTATGGCAAAGGTCTTACATAAAGGCATTGTGGGCCGATTTGTGAGGTGGAAGAAAGCGGAGGACTTGGAGAAGGATTACGTTTAGACAGACATTGGCTGCTGAAGATAACCGCCATGACTTGATCCTTGTTGTGTAGATTAAGGCATAAAATCCAAACTAATGAGAGCAGAGAGGGCAAAGACATGTAAGGGTTTTTCTTCGTTGAAGACAGACACCGTGTTGGTGAAATTACCTTTCTTGTGTAATGATACAAGAATCTAGTTTCAAAAGGGAGAGACCAGGAAAAATAATTTTAGGAAAACATTCACTCACAGAGAATTGCTTTTATTTTTTGGAACAATTACTAAATAAGAAATATTCTTTCAATTTAAAGTAGGGTTTTTGTAGTATTTTTTTGAAATGTCAAAAGCACATAGTAAAACATCAACTTTAATGCAGGCCACAGACAGTATTAAAAAAAAGGTGATAGGTTCCATGCAGGATTTCTAAATAATTTCCCAAGTCTACTGATTAAAAGAGCAGACCCCAATATTTTGAGTTATGATTAATAACAAAAGTTAATAACTCAGATCAGCACTAGTTACAAAAATTCTGACCTTAGAATTTGTCATTGCCAATGTGTTGGTGCAAGTCAGTAAAAAAAAAAAAAGCCTCCAATAAACTCCCCCACTTTGAGCTAATCTGGGGGGGAATGTATTGCGCTTCCCAAGCTTCAGTTTGCTTGAGGGCAAGCACTGAAAGCAGGGGGCAGAAAAAAAATAGAAAATAAAGAAAGAAACACATTTGATTCTTTCCTTTCCCTGTCTTGGATGTCTGTACTTAATTTTTCAAGAATTTCTCTGCCATCCAATTGTGTCCTCAGACCTGAGGCAGTGTGAAGGAAAAAAGAAAACATACACCTACAGCATCATGCTGTGCGGAAGACCGTGTGTGGGGAATCTCTTTCATTCTAGAAAACAAAAAGAAGTGTCAGACAGGCAGGTGGACATGAAGCCAGGTAAATATTAATGACTTGTTGACCATTTTATTTCCCACCCGCAGACTGCTTTCTGCAGACAAAGAGCCTGTCAATGCGTCAAAAATATCGATTTCAGACCTACTCTTTATTCATTTTTAGTTTCACCAAAATTAATCTGGAATCTTAAGCACCACAGACCACAGAATGCCGTTTGCATATTAAGAAGTAGCTGATTATCATGGTGTAGAAACACAGATCTTTAATTTTGTGCATTTTAGACACAGCTTCCTCCTGCACTGCTACGCTGGAGATAATTGTGGAAATCTACATATTGAGAGCGAGGCTGTTGTCAGTGCCTGATTTGGAGTGTCTTGGTGGTTATCTGCTGTAATTCATGTGGTATGATGAATATTACCTCCTGAATTAGGCTATTATGCTGCCAGGTGGAGGCCAGTGGATTTACAGGAAATAGTGATCATCATGTCATGATAATGAAGCAATTACTACTGGCTATTTGTAATACAATATTTACTGCCAGACCACAATCAATTATCTTATTTCAAATTAACTTTTTTTCTTTTATCAGCGTCCAATGTTGTATGCTGTTTCTGAGAAGAAATACTATTAGTTTTGTGTGTGTGTGAGACATACTGGGGCTCCCCATTGGGATCTGCTAATAAAGATAAAACTACAGTTGATATGTAACATTGCAGTGAAGTTTATTAAATCTTACCCTCAACAAGAGAAGTTTGGTTTTCTTTCGTAACTGTGGATGTTGTGACTTAAATAGATCACATAATGTGGCGCTAGTGAAACCAAAAAGTGAAGACATTCATGTATGTTTCTTTGCCCGACCGAACCCAATGCAAACACAAAAGCGAGTGTGGCGGTAAGAATCTTTGTACTGACATCACGGTTCGATACGTATTAAGTATATGTGTATAATTCTATTGCTGGTTCGTATTGCTGTTCGTTTTTGCTCTGCTTGTGTTATTTTTTTTACGCATCTGTTACCTCAGCCATTGTTGTTGGTGGGTAGTAGGTTGATTCTTAGCAGGACAGTGTGACTCGCCAATTATTTTCCAAACCATATGACCGAAAACTGGAAATTTGCTGTCAGATTTACGGACAGATTTTTTGCTCTGTCTGGATAACATGACAAGGGATTTGAAAGGTCAGGGGAGCAGCACAGTATCAGCCAGAGAGTTGTGTGAGTTGTTGAAGAGATCTATGGGAAGTTCAAGGGTGTTGTTCAAAGTAAATGTACGATTCACGCTCTATGAAACTGACAAACAGAAACTGTTAAATTGAAGATCAGCTGTTGTGTCAGCTGAAGAGGAGAAACATTTGGATTTAAATGTTCTTCAATCACTCCATAGAAACTTTGATCTGGCTTTTAAGGACCCAGTTTTTTATGTCTGAGACATCAGGTCCATATAGGGTCTGTACATCGCCAGGTCTGGATTATTATTACTTTTATTACATTGCTCAGGATGCATGTAAAATGTAACAGGCAGAGACTAAAGCTCTCCTCGCATTCCTCTCCTCTTACTCCAACTTTTCATTGCCACCATAGGCCTGACTCTGCTTTAAATCTGCTTCTGTCTCTCCTTCTAATGAGAACCATCCACTTCCAGCAACCCACTGACACAAACTTCCCTCTGATCTCAGACCAGTAACTGTTGTCACTGTGGCCATGTCTCACCACTCTACAGCTGCTTCTATCACCACACAGCCTATTGTTATCATAACCTTTCACAAGAAAACATGCAAAACAGTAAGAAATAAAGTTGTTTACACTTAAGTGCAATATGTTCCTTCAGGGAGTGCTAATTATGCCAAACAAAAGTGTTTTAATAATAGGAAACACTAACCAGATGAGGGATGTTGTTAATAAAAAAAATTCCGGACTGCCTAATTGGAAGTAATGTACTTACTATTAATCCCTGGATCCTCATTTGGTTATGATTTTATGACTACCAGATTTTACAAACTGCTTGTTTCATCCCATTGGAAAGGATTTAACATTTTAGTAATATTCAGTAACATAAAATAATTTTTGCTTTGGACTAAGATTGTATTTTAAACTCCTTATGGTAAATAAACTGGTTAATGAGTCACATTTATATAACATATCCCCTATTTTTCTTACGATATTGTGAGATGAGGCCTTCTTTTGGAGAATTATGCCAAAATAATATTGTCTTTTTTTGCTCTCCAACGCTGACATCTCTTTATGTTGTAGACACAAGTCAATGTCAATATCATCTCCCATCATTTCAGTTTTTCCGCCTGAATTACTGCCACCTTCTCTTTCTACCTCAGCTTTATTCCAGTGCTGTATATTTTCCTTCTAAGTGGGCACTTAATTTGCCTGTTCATTCCACCCCATGAGTAATATTCACCGAATGAACTGATTTGATGGGCCTAACCACTCACTTTTCTTTCTAATAATAATAATACATTTTATTTCACAGGCGCCTTTCTGTCAGCCAAGGACAACTTACGATGAATAAAAATAGAGAGCAAATAACAAAACAATACAACATTAAAAACAAATGTAAATTGTTTTTGGCATGTTCATAGTCCACAGAATAATTTAATGGATTGATTTTCTACAAGCCAAATGCAAATGCAAACAGTCAGAACCCCACAGCACTAAATTTCTAAAGCACCCTGAATTGCTTTTGCCAACTGCAACAGTCCCAGGTTAGATTAGGCCTTATTGAGACTGGAGGGCATGTAGAAGCATAGTTGACAGGATTAAGTGGCCATTGAAGTGACGTGAGCTCCCTTAAGAGAGCAAAATACAAGAAAAGAGAATGACTTAATCTCTTTGTGCAAAAGAAGGGCTATCTCCTCTTCCTTTCTCTGCTAGTTTTAACATGATGCCTCCAAGGGCTTCTGGTGGCTGGTGGGAAATACTGGGGGAAGTCATTTCTCACTGTAAATACATGTATTTATACTAGTCCTGGACATTGATGACATGATAAATGTTTGTGAAGTAATCATATAATTGTTGTTTTGATAAATATGTGTAATTGTTTTTATTATTAATATTATTTTTTAATTCGCTGTTATGGATTATCTAAAGCAACTGGAGTAGCTTAGTTTCTAGAAGTTTTTAGAAAACCTTAAAATTAGTTCAGTAAATTAACCTACACTACACTACCTAAAACTACACTTAATCTAAGGATTAAGTACATTATTTAGTTTCTGTTTTAAGTTTTTAACAGTTTTCATATTTTTATGGACTTCATGGCTAGTGTTTAAAAAATATCATGTGATTCAACACCTCTTAACAGCAGCGTTGTTTTGCAGATTTACAAACCTGTAGTCAGGCCTGACTTTATTGTCAACACCTCTGCTAATTGACTATTGACTTCACCTAGATATTTATCAATGGGTCAATGGGTCTACATTAGCATTTGTTTGGCCCAGTGTTTAGGTGAGTTTGTTGTCGAGGCACAGGTAGCGTAAACACTGAGCATCCACTTATGAACAACTAAATGGTTAAGAAACAGAAAAAAAAGACTCACTTTCACTTTACATCTAGAGCATTTGGTCTTTTACTGTAAACATTATTAGAATACAGTGGAAATACAAACTATAGTTACCCTGACGAAATGCTGGGTTAAGTGAAAAACTATGACATAACTGATATTCAAATTCAGCCATTCATCAATCTGCAACTAGGACTAAAATAATTACTTTTAGGATGAAGGCAAACTTCATAACCCTAAACCTTTTCTACCGAAAACATCCCAGCCTGCCTTTGTAAATGTAATATGAAAAATGTGTTGTCTTTAAAAAAAAAAAACCAAACAAACTATAGTTTAACTTTTCAGCTGTGGTAAAAAACAACACTACAGACCAGCTTGAGAATTTAGGACTGCTGGTGTTAAAGTCAGGCAGGCGGATTTCTTGGTCTGTGTCTGGGGCAATAAAGTAAACCAACCTAGGATTTTATATATTGTTGTAAGGGTTACTGAAAACTTGTGTAAACCTATTATTTTATTTTCAGGGGGAGCAACTTCTTCATGTCTACAGCCTGGTGTTTGTATCCTGGAGCGTTACGTCATCACCACTGCTCTGCAGGTGCCTCCCTTCGCTATGTACCTCGCCGGGCAGTTCTGTACTGCCCTGGTAATGATGAGCGGAAATTAAAGAAACTTGCTTCACTGGATGTCGACTGTGCAGTTCTAGACTGTGAAGATGGTGTGGCCCTAAACAAAAAGGTACCTAAAAACACAGATGCTCGTGTATTGACCAAATACTGGGTTATTATAATAGGACGGCAAAAAACACACCACTCCATAGACAGCTGTGTGACCCTGAATGAATATAATTCCAGCTCCCTTCTTCAGACAGGTGCTAGGTCCTAATCTTTGAAAGGAAAACTACCTAAGTGATATGTTTAAAACAAGCACATTTCACCCTATTATGATGGCATAAAGGCATTGGTTCCCCCCTGCCAGAGTCCTTTAAAACAAGGTGACCGTATCCCACTGGGCAAGCAGCGGGAAAGCACCAGATGCAGCAGGTTAAAAGCATTCTCCTCCCGCCCACACTAGCTCCCCATTGGCCCTCCTGAACTGCCCATGAAATTGTGATTGGTGAGTAGGATAAAGAAGTGGTCTGGGTAAAAGTTAACTAACAAAGGTTTTTAAGTCATGATAATAAAGATGATTGAAATGGCTGCAGGCTGTTCCTGTAGTGGACAAAGACAATAAGATGATGCCCTGTGTGACTGACGGGCTAAAACTGTGACCCCGCGATGAAGTCGGTGGATTTCAGAGCTCCTGTCTTTATTACGTTTCACAGGAATGCAGCAGCCCTCAAACAGCTATTCAGGCTGATGGAGAATTCAGACACAACAGTCTTGAGCTGTCAGCATGTGACGGCTTCACATCTCCATCTTCTTTAAAACCACAGTTTCCACCTACATTCTTCTTTGGTTTCAGCTGCCCACTTATTTCACACAATTCAAAAGTACTGTCCTGCTAGTTGTCTGTTTGTTGTTTGCAAAAAAATGCCTTTCACCATAAATCTGCTGTGTAAATGCTGTGTTAAAACCTCTGGCTCTACATAAAGTGAAATGCATTGTAATTATTACATTACATTAATTATTAATAATTGAATTGTTAGAGTTTTTTTAATCACAGACTCATTATTCTGCATCACTTCAGAACTGTCTATATGCTGCATATTTGACCTCGGTACAATCCAATCAATTCTTCCACTCTTTTCCTGCCTTTGGACATACAGTAAGTCTAGTACTTATTTCATCTTACCGTAAAACAGAAAGACGTATAAAAACTGACAATCACCAGTCCGTCTATCAAAAACTGCACTATTTAAAGTTGTTTTTTCACATTTACTTCTTCTGATCTTTTCACTTCTGTTCTGTTTAGCTGTTTTCTCGCTGTCCATAGATTTCCAATTGAGTTTTGTAGCTGGGTCACTAAGTGTAACAGGTTATACATTGATTTGATTCTGAGTTTTGCATCATTTCCCATTGAGTGGCAAACCTTTGACCCAACACCGTGAAGCGTGTCTGTGCACTTTGTTCATCTTTACTTCAGCCCTAACTAGTTTCCCTGCTTGGGTTGAAAAACACTGTGTCACTGCTTGATGTCGGCACCTTCATGCTTCAAAGTCTTGCAGTTGTAAGGCCAGACGGTTCAATTGTGGTTTCTCTAAACAGGAGGGTTTCTGTTGGTTCCGATCAAAAAGTTGCTCAGACAGAATTTCACAGATGGAACTACTAGTCAACCTGCCACGTGACCTGCTTTAAACTTTGACTGTGTTGAACCCACTAGAAAAAGGTGTTGACATTATAATGTTTCATAGAAATAAAGCCTCTTTGTGGAACTTAACCTAACGTTTTGGATTAATATTACATACTGTATATTGGGCTTGGTGTAAAAAAAAACTTCCAAGCTAGTTGTACGTTAGCTTCAGCTTGTGATCATGTGGTTCCTGTCCTCTTTGCTGACACAGGACATGGATGTGCTAAATAATTAGCTATTAATCACTAATAGTAAATATTTACATAGTAATAAGTATAAGACAAGATAATATTCCTGCATTGGATGAAAAATAATATTTCAGGCTAAAGATGAAGGAGATATGTACCCGGTCTCGTGTCCACACCAAAGCCATCAAGGGTTGAAAAACTGACTAGGAAGTGATTTAATGGTAAGAAAACAGTGGGTTAGATCTTCCAACAGGGTGACTGGCCAAAACTGCCTCCTGTTATGTTTTCGTTGAATATTCAGAATCCTTTCATTGTCTTTCACCTTCACCTTAATACATGGAATGATATTTATGACAAAAAGGAACAATGAAGGTCACTTCACCCCCCCCGTTGAAAATTTAAATCGGGGCACGCTGGCGTTAATTGTCTGCCACTTTGACTCCAAAAATGTCTTCTTTTCATCTTGGCAGTAATGCTGGCTGTTTAAGAGGCAGGGAGATGAGACAAGGAGTAAAGGGTATGAGCCACCCAGAGCTCGCTAACTGTCACCGTGGACCCAGAGGGGAGAGAGGAGGGAAGACAAGGCTGACTGCTCTAACACTCTTACACATATCATCATATCTGTATGATCAGTGGGGTGGAGGAGGAGGGGGGAGGGCAGGTTGAAACCCTGGTGCGGAACTGACGGCTACACCTGTCCTCTCTCCTCTCACTGTTGCCATCTTGTTCCTGTTCTTTCTCCCTCTCTCCCTCCCTCACTCGTCTCCTTCTCCAGGGTCCTTAGGGTTAAGATTGTTTATCTCTCTTGCTCATGTTCTGTGCCTGTCTCTTAATGCCCTGTGGTCCAGTTTTCCTCCTGGTATTTCTTTCTCCCTCTGTCTTTCTCCCTCTTTTCCCCACATGGGTTCCTCCTTCCTCCCTGACTCCCCCCTGCCTCCCTGCCACAGAGATTCTCTCCTAATCCCTGGAAGTTTGAAACTAATGAACTAACTGCTGAGCCACTGCCACGGAGCATGGTCCCAAACTATACTGTACTTCACACTCGATTTCCTCTCCAGATGGCACGGAGGAGCGGCCGACACAACGGGGAGCACCCCTCGTGCACCAGCTCGTGCAACAGCACACGCATCAGTGTGTGCACATAGAAGCATACAGACAGAAATTCTCACACACATTCACAAATGTACACACTTAAGGACATACAACATGTTACAGTTGACAGAGAGATCGCTGAGATAGTAAAGAGAAGTTTATAAAAACCCTGGTTGTAAAATGATTGATCTGGTTGACAATCCACATTATATTGTGCAGGTGAGGGAGGGTCAGTGAGTTTGGAGTAGCAAAATGGGACTATGATACTATCCCTACAGCAGAAGGGTTGTTCCTGTGCTGCTGAGGGAAGAACAGAGAACACACTGTTGAGTGGGTGACATTATTATGGTCTATTACCTGTTAGCAAGAACCTTATTCAATGTATCCTCCGGGTCATGCATGAAATATGTCTGACACTAGTGATTTTCAACTTTACATGAATTATGCAGTCAACTGTCATCTGATACTAGACCTCAGTCAAGTATCAGATGACGGGGCTCACTGTGTTTTTTTCAGAGGACACTAAAAGCTCTCCGTTCATGTGGACTACTGGGAAATAAAGGAAGCCCGTTATGAATTCTTGCTATTTGTATTTAGTGTGTGAGTGTCTGCATTTAGTCACAGCTCTGTACTGTATATAGACGAGTGAGCACGGACCTCGGCTAAACAGCTTGAAGAACCCTTGAGACAAGAGAAAATCTCCTTGCTCTGTTGCCAAGACCCACAAATGGGACGTGATCAGCTCAGGCAGAAGATACAGTAGTCTCTGTTCTAACCAGATGAGAAAGACTTTGTCTTTGAGAGCTGTCTGTCACTGCTAAGGTGTGTCCTTGTGGGTGGGTTGGTGCATGTGTGTGCAAGTGCAGATGCTGAGGCTGCACATTTGCTGCAGAATTGGACCGGACCTTAAAGAAATCATTGTATCTAGCGTTTGCCTTTGAATCTGACCCTTGTTCAACATAATACTTTTTCTGAAATTTTAAATAAATATATTATAATTCCATCCTCAGGTCTTTGATTAGAACACATTCTTGCTCCAGATGTCGTTATCAAACGATCACTACTATGTCCAAGAGAATGATCAGAAAATGCTGAGACCAAAGGAAACAGAAGGAACCCCACTCCCCTTTTCTTATTATCCTGTTACACTTCTGTGTTTTTACTGGCAGAACCACTGCCTGCACAGCTCTGTGCTACGTGTACAGAGAAACACACACAACTGTTGTGTACGAACCCTAGAAACAGGAGTGTTGATGGATAACGTGGGAGTAGGAGGAAACATGTATGAGTGAGAGAAATGAGGAATTAGGCCACGTCCAAAGACATCAGGATTTATTGAGTATAACTTTTCTGTTACTGCAAATCAGAAGCTGTTTCCATATCTTTTTAGTTCTCCTAGTAAATCAGATACAGTTGAATAAAGAGAGGGATTAAATTGTTATCACCAGGTTGGGAATATAAATGACTTGTGGCATCACTGCTGTGCATTTCCCATGTTTGACTGTTCAATTTTGGGGTATAGAACATTTTTCTATTCCGTATTTCACAGAATATGTTCAGATTTTACAAACCACCAGTGCAACACCCTATTCTGTTTTATCATGCTTGAAAAGATTTGTTATATAAACTGTAAATGGCATGTAGTATGAATCTCCATAGTGTCTATAGAAAGCTATTTATTTCCTAGTAAATAGCATTAGTTTGAAAAGAAACATCCTTTATTACTTCTTGCCATTCTGTTGCTTGTAAATAAGTGTGCATTTAGTGATTAATAGATCTGTGGTTAATGACTACTCAATTCGTGCAGAAGGATTTCCAGCTTTGCTTTTTCATAATTAAATTCAATTATTTCAGTAATTTAGATATTAGCGTTGGTGAAGGACAGATTTTAATGGTGGACAATATGTCTTTGTTAGCACTGTAAGCTATCAGTGTGCTGGCTGCTAGATATTAATTGCAAAATGAAATATTAATTATGCGTACAACATGTCATTAGTGTTGTCAAAACAGCCAGTCACGAGTTGAATAAATTGACACAAAATATTTCACTGCAGCTTGTGATGACTCATTACTGAACAGCTCAAATGAAATCATTTCATGGCTAATTATTTTGTAGTAACTGTTTCCCACCTCCAGCTGTCAGATTTCACCATCTCTGACAAGCAGGTTTCGGGTTTTACAAATTCCGCCTTGGCTGCCTGATAGTTATGTCTTTTTATCTGCTCTGACAGTATAATGGATAACCCAGAACACTACAAACTGACAGAGTGAAGGCCCGAGTCTGCTCTTGCTACATCTCAGTTTTCAGCATAGTCTGAATTAGTCAGTCATCTCTTAGCAGCTTTCTGGAGTGCGGCGTGTCACTTGTCAAATCCCATCGACAATGACGGGGGGCTTGTTAACACACACAGACCTTGACACACATGTACTGGAAAAAGACAAATACGTGTGTGTAGTCACACTTCAGGCAGACAGCCCGCACCTTGGATTTTCTGCGGTTTCTTTTAAGTCGTGCTACAAGTCGCACAGCAGGATGCAAAACACAGTCTCTCAAAAGGTAAACAAAAATGAGAAACAACCTCACTCATGATTTCATACACTTTAACTCAACAAACTAACAGTATATGACAGTGGAGTTGTTACATAGTATTTATGCAGCCAAATGAAAAACTCGGCATCATTCAAGGATTTTATCATTCAGCCTGGTTCAACATCCTGAAAGATGATGTGTTTACTCTTACTGTCGGTTTTGTGTGGAAGTCTTTATGATAATACATTGATATCTGTGTTGAAGAGGAACTCCAACTAATACTTTCCAGAGATTTGAACCTTCTTCCAGTCAAAGGACAGAGTGTGACCTCTTATCTAGAGTCTGTCCGGAGGCGATGTTTGACATTGCTTGTTTCAAGCAGCGTGGGGACAAGGCTGGACATCGAAGATCTAAAGCTGGAGAGAATCGTGGTTCCGCTGTGGCCTGTACACACATCCGTTTGGACTCTCCAATCAGATGTGTTCTCTACAGTGCTGTTACCATGCTGGGTCACACATGCACAGAACGCTATAGGATCCTCAGCGTCCAGTTTCAGATTGTGTCTTAAGGAGCTGCCCTCGCTCTCCTGGAAGGTCAGCCTCTCCGCACATGAAAAGCTTCACGTGAGCATCTCTGCGTTCGACAACCCATGCCTGCTCGGCCAACTGCTCGCCCACCTGCCTGCCAGTGTCAGCTTCTAATGATGAGGATGGTGGAGGAGAATCAAAGAGGAGATGGAGCTGAAGTTGGGGCAAGCGCTCTGTGGGTGACGGTGTGATTGGGGAAAGAGCTTTGAAGCAAATTGTTGGATGGCTGTCCATTAATGTAAAATATCTGTTTTTCAAAGGGGTTTATTCAGACTCGTGGTAGCGGAGCCCATAGGGGTCAAGGTGTCTGGCGGAGTACTTACTCTTCTTTTACATAGAAATACATGCTGTCTATATACAATATTTCCCTGTGGTGTATGTGCCTGGAGGCTGCGAGCCCTTCTGACTTTTTTACTTTTTTTTATCTTCATAAACCATGCTTTTTAAACATTAAAGTAAACATTATTTACTTAGTTTAGCTAGAGATCAGTGACACTCTTGGTACATAAATCAGCGTGGAGATCACGCATATCAATTTTTTCTGTCGCCATGCACTCCAGAGGAAGATAGAATATAATCCAGCAAGTAGCAGGTTTATGAATAGTGAATTTACAGCTGCTTAAGTCGCTCCCTGGGTTTTAAGTTACCCGGATACAGTCACGGGCTTGTCTGGGCTCCAGAGAGTGACAGTAATAGAGTAGCAACAGAGAGGTTACAGGAAACCTTCAGTAAGACTCAAAGATCAGAGGGCGCTCATCATATGGTGTGACAATCCCTCGTCTCCTTCAACGTGGAAAAAGTGCTGACGTCGATGACACGCATAGCCATCCAGCCGACTCCTGACCCCAGTTTAATCTCAGGCAATCCTCGATATGTACTGTGATACCATACTTTATTGATACTGAAGGGGTGTTCCTGATATAAAGTATAGTCCTGTCTGCCAGAAGATCAGAGGGCGCTGTTTTGTCTCCTTTGACCCTTGAGGGACTCCCCTATATACTCATCCTGGGTCAACACTACTCCTTTTTTTACAAGAGACTGTGAAGTATGGGCTGCATATGCTTTATCTGTCTACAGTTGCCCTTCCCAGCTGACACCCACTGCTTTAGTGAACAGTACACTGATGATCTGTTAGTTAGAATACTTCACGTAGACTCTATCTATGTTGGCCTCTGTAGTCAAGCTTTGCATTTTTACCTGGGTTGTGTGAATACATTTTCCGCATTTGCTTTATTTAAATGTCAATTCTTATGAACCAAATAGAAAAATAAAAAAATGAAAACCCACTGTAATTATCTCCAGGCACTAAAGTAAGTTCTCCAGCTTCTGATCTGACCTGACAACTCCTAAGCTACCACTTCCTCGTGCTGCCTTAACTCAGACCACATTTTCTCCCAGAGAATCTATCTCCTCTCACTAGCTCCACTTCTCAATTCATCTCCCTTTTCTCATCATTCCCTTTTGCCCAGCATCTGGTTTGAATATAGCTGGGTGTGCTACTGTGTTGGTGATAGAAGTTGGGACTGAGAGCTTTGCTTTGATTTTTTTTTTTTTCATTCTTTTTCGTTCTCCTCATCTCTCTTCCTGCTCAGCTCTTTTAGTGATCAAGTTGTTGAAATGCAGATCAGTGGTCAGTCTAGGTATAGTTGACCAAAGAAGAAGAAATATATGCAGATTAACATATTGATCTTAAGGTTGTTATGATAATGACCTGATATCTGATCCACTCTACATTATTTGCAGAGGGATGACATGACTTGGTATCACAAAAGTCACTGTGTGAGAAGGAAAGAAGTGAACTTGAAAGTGTAGGAGGAAAGGGGACCTCACTTGATCTGTTGCACATCATCAACATAGTTTTGCCAAAAACGGAAGCAACTGAATCGCATTTTTCATTTTTAAATGAAATGTGTTTTCATAGTAATGAATAATTACTTTTGATAATTGTGATTTGACCAAATATTGAAAAACATTATTGTAAGCCGTAGCAGCCGTACTGCAGATCATGTCTGTTTCAATATCAGTGCTCCGTTAATATAGTATGAGTGGAGTATTACTACTCAACTGAGAACAAAAACCTTGACTTCAACATTAAAACTTTCTAATGTAATAGTCTATGAATCTTATTCATAACTGTTTTCTTTTAAACTGAAATCTATTTGAAATAGCCATCTAAAATGAAACCTTTTCTTTCTTGTTTGCTGCAGAATGAGGCCAGAGAGACCATTCCCAGGATGCTGGTAGAACTGAACCTGGGACGGACAGAGAAGTGTGTGAGGGTGAACTCTGTGTCCAGTGGTTTAGCTGAAGCTGATCTGCAGGTCATTCTGCAGGGTGAGGTCCTGCCTCCTGCCGTCATGTTGCCCAAAGTGGAAGACACACAAGAGGTGCAATGGGTAAGAATGTATTTATTTTACTGTTTCAGATCTTTAGTAATTGACAAGAAAGAGATCAAAAGACCCAACACAAGACAAACCAACTCTTGGAATACGTGCAAGAACTGAACAACTGAAAACACCCACGGCATTTCTGTCTTTGGCTCCCAAAGTGTCTTGAAAAAAACACAGTAGTCTTCTTACACAAACTCAGTAAGTAATGGGACACCAGGAGAATCTTCAAAGCAATCATAACAAACTTTTCCCATATCCCAGTAAAAGTGGGAATCGATCCCTGTGGTAGGACTCAAGAGTGTTTTCTTTGGCAACAGCCCAAGAAATGGATGACATTTCTTCAGGTTGGGTTAAGAAGCCTGATAGTTTTCTGTAACAACACAAATGTTCTGCTGCTGGGCCGGCTGGAACGTAGTGAGGTACAATTGCAAACAACAAAGAAAATGCTTAAATACGTGGATCTAATTAATTAGAATTGATAGTCATTTAGTAATGTGTTATTTTAACCTTACTGTTGCATTATGCTAAGTTAGCTTCAACATTTGAAATATGACATAGATGAGGCCTGTCTTGGCTTGGCCCCCAAAATCATTAAAATGTGTATTTTTATTGGCCTTTGAAATTTGAGAGCCCATTTTGACATTCTTCACTTTTGGCTAACCTTCAGCCAAAGTTATATTTCTGTTTTAGTTGTGGATTATGTTAGTACTTTCTGGGTTAATTTTTACTCATTCTTTGTGAACCACTTGAAGATAATTTCAAGTGTAGCCAAGGGTGTTAAGACCAATCTCACATACTTATGCACATCAAGGCAACATTTGTTATCTTTTTGATCTTAGGTCCAATCTAAAATTTGCTGAAATCTGTGCCCCAGTAAAAAGGTTGTTGTTTTGGCCCGGCCATCCTTTTGGCTTTCTATAAAAGGGTGCTTTACGGATGTTAGGTCCTGAAAGGTCAGGAGACAGTGACATCATTAATGCTGGCCATTCTGATCAGCTCCATATGGCTAACCTTACCAGGAAGAACCAGGCTGTGCTGTGTACACATTCTTTACCATCAGTCTCTACAAGAGTATAGTTTCTATTAAAGAAAAAATGTACACACACACATACACACCTTTGACTTTTTCTTATTATGCAGTGTATAATTAAACAGCACTGTTAAACATGCTGTTGTTAGGGAGCAGGAAGTTTTTAACTAGTGCTTTTAATTAGAACACGTCTATTTCCTGCTGCTCTTTTTTTGAGGCATAATTGCTGACAGGTGTTTACTTCTTCTTTCCCTTAACTCGGCTGTTTCTCCCTTTTTTGAAATTACTGCAAGTGAAAGTCCAGTAATTCTGTATAGATAAATAACTAATGTGTGGGCGTGGATCAAATATTTACAGTTAGTACAACAAGTAGTTTCAGGGGAGGTGGGAGGGCGAGGATCCGTTTTTCAAAGTCAGTTTATTACCTGTTCGGGTTGTAACAACGTTTAAAATTAAAAACCGTAAACACACAATGTAAAACATAATGTTGCAATAACCTCATGTGTCAACCAGAGCATTCAGACTAGATTACAGCGCCTGAGCCATATGTTCATTTTTTTTAAACCAAACACATTTCTGTACATGTAACCTGTTTTGTGTCCCATATAAAGTGATTTTTTTGGCTTTGTGTTTTAAACATGTCTGTTTTCCCTGACCTTCTTCTTCTTCTGTAAGTGTGTTTTCAGTGCTGTAAATCCCTTTACTTGTTTATTTTCTCTTTTTATTAACATCAGCACAGGAACCTCCAGACTGATTTGTCGCTAAAAGATGGACTTGCTTGTTTTCCTTTGTGTGAAAATCTTTAGCTTTGCCTTTCTCTTCTCTCCCAGCCCTTGTGTGACTGACAGCCCTTATTGGGCCATAACAGGCGTAACTCCCTCCTTTGTCTGAAGACAATTCTCACACAGATTCGGAGCCATGTGCATTCTTTGCCCACACCACACTATTTGGTGTGCACTGGGACCAAAAAAAGAATCACACCCTGTCCCTGCTCCTCCTCCTCTACTCCTCCTCCTGTCCCCTCCCCTTGTCCCTTTCTCCGCTTCCCCTCTGTGAAATGAACACTTCAGCCGGCCGGAAACATTTAATCTGGGCCCCTTTTGAAGAAAATTAATTGAAACTTGTCCCACTATAGCGTCCTTTCTCCAGCTCCGTCTCTCCCTCCTTCTCTTTTCATGATTGGGTGGTGAAATTGTCAGAGGGCTTGATTGTAGCCAGTCTTTGAATGGCAAGAAGAGGTGTTATTTCTGTCTTTTCATTTTCTTTCTTTTTTTTTCAATTCTACTGTGAATAACAAATTAAAGGGTCCTACATTTGATAGCCATTGACAGCTAATGGGCGACGTATTGCCGTACGCACCAGAAGAATAATGAATGGTGACTACAGTGTCTCTTCTGCCGTGTAAATCGGGCCCTCAGAGCGCACAATAGTTGAAGAGGAGAGAACAGCAGAGGTACAGAAACATGTAATCAGAGAGCTTTGGAGGATGTCCAGTCAGTGGTTCTGCAATGATCTGTCATTTGTGTTCCTGAGGCTGAATATAAGGGTGTCATTCCACTATCAGGGCTTTCCAAGTGTCGTGGGCCTTTTCAAGGAGCTCAAGGTTCTTGTATACATTATACAACACGCTGAAAGATGTTCAGATTATGCAAATTTCACTTGTGTCCTGTATGTCACAGACCGGATTGAATGGCTCGATGGGCTGGATTTGGTCCCTGGGCCACTAGTTGATAATCAGTGCTTTAAAGGCACTTTCTCCAGACAGTTCGTGGTTGAGGAATGACTTCCAGAATTCATGTCATTAGTTTGGTTACCTCCTATTTCTGTGTTATAGACATAGCCTGTTTATAAATATGGGTTGGGGGCCACATGGCCCGCAACCCATATTTTCTACAGGTTTCAGCGAACTAAGGTATGAATGGCTGTGTTCTCACATCTCCAGCTCCAACGGCACTAACAGAGTCTGTTTTTACACTAACCAGGCGAGACAAGTGTGAACACAGCCTGAAGCAGCACACTTGGTGCGACGCTGCGTTGTTAGGTTTTGGTATTTTGCATGTCTCAGTGTAGCGGGGCTAATCTCTGTGTAATAACAGCTTCACTTGCCTACAAGTCCTCATATCCACCTGGCTTCCTCTGTCACAGAAATGTGTTTATCCACACCCTCTTTTCACACCCCTCCTCGGACCCCACTTCCACCCATTCCCGTTCACCGGAGGGAGGAGGAGGGGGGGGGCATATTATGCTAAGCCCCCAGCGTTAGTTTTTATGTTTCCATAGCAGCCCCGCTCCCACAGGGTTGTGACCTCAGATGATTACAGTACAAAGCCTATTGGGTCTTGAAAACCTCTTTGAAGATGAAAAGTCTTTGATGGTTTGTATTTATGCAAATCTCTCAGATATGATTTATCCAACTGAGATTGAATGGAGAGATGATTAAAATTGCCTCTGTTTTGTTGAAACCCTTCAATTGGAGGCCCCTCTCTTTCTGTTTAGAGAACAAGAATGGCGAGACCAAGCGCCGGGGTTATTTTGCTTTTCCATTTGGACAAATATAAATGCTCTACCTGAGGATATTTATATCTGTCTTTTCCTGGTGTGGCAAGCAGGCGGCGAGGAAAATGGAGATGAAGCAGGCACACAGAGTTAGATATTTGTACTACTCTTCTTTAAAACTCTCTTTTTACCCCCATTTCTTTTTTCAACTGGCCTTGAAAGGAAATATCTGACAGAGGGGGCTTTTGTGTGTTTCCAGATGATAGATTTAGGAATTTGGGCTACCCCACTGGCAGTCCAGGTCTAGCTGTGAACTGGTCTGTTGGAAAAAATTGGGATGCTTTGGTCTTCAAAGAATTTAACTTGGTTTTAAAGCTCTACTTAGGTGAGCTTGCATATTAGCAGGAGTCGTGCAGAATAAAGGCCCAGGCAAAGTGTCACATCACACTCCGATTGTTGCTCCAAGTCTTACCACGGAGGAGGGGGGCAGGAATAAGGGAATAATGTAGGAGTACGACACACTCGGAGACGTCTCAAATCATGCTCCTAACTCCCCTCTTCCACTTTTGTTCTTTCCGTTCTCCGGCCGCCATGTGTATGCATGTGCTTATCCGTGCATGTGCACATTTACATGTGTGCACACACACACTCTCTCTCGGGGGAACACATGCAGTAGTTGAGCAGAGTGTTCTGAAAGAAGGCAGAGCACAAGACTTCAGACAACGGGGGAAACCCTGGTGATAATGTAAAATATTTCATTTCTCCTGCTTTGTTGCGGCTCTCCTCTGCTCGCCTTCTCTGCTCTTTGAACCCTCACAGGTGTGTCTCTGAATAAAATGTGCATTTTTGTTTGAGCAGTGTTGGTAATAAAGGTGTCAAGATTGGTATCAGAAGTGAGATTTCCCCCCTCCTCTCCACTGTCTGCCTGAAAATGTACCATTGTTGGAGAGAAAATTGTTAAAATTTAACGTTGTTCAACATTAAATAAAAGGAAATGTATTAAAAAAATAAGGATACAATTGTTAATTCAGAGATTTTAAACAGATTTTTAGGAAGTGAGATTGACAGCTACTTGAACAAACAGTGTTTTAATGAAAGCTGAAAAGAAGACAGTTCTGACGGGTTCACTCCTGACAGCCTGAAGACTTTTCCTAAATTATTCCAGGTCAATAAAGTTAAATATAAAAGTGTTTTCCTAGTCCAGTTCTGACTGAGTTCAGGCTCCTGACATGTTCCTTTACATCATATTGTTTTCACATATTTTTGAAATATTGTATACCATATATTTATATTTCCTATGTAATATGTTTTTTCACATTATGCAACTATAACAGTATTACTTCTACCTCGGAGTGCAGCAAGAAATTAGTTTGGGGCAAATGATAACCTTAACTATTACCACTAACATTAGTAGAATACAATACTGCAGATGTGGTCGGATGAATAAGAAATGCAATCAAGTATGGAAGTATTAAAATCTTCCATAAAGACACCATATGGAGATGGAATGCATTTTACCTCGGGAAGTGACTTGCACTAAAAAATGTCATGCTGTGGATTTTTTTTTTTTAATTTTCAAGAATTTACAATTTTATCTTATCTTTATCTTGTCACCCACCAAATGTTTTACCACCCAATTTGGGTCACAACCCTACAGTGACAAAAACCGTATAGTGTTTAGTAGCAGTGCAAATCAAACCCAAACTGATAAACTGGATAAACTACCACTGTGAGAAGCGGTGACAACACATCAGCCGCTTGTGTTTGTAGTTTTCCATATGCAGAATCTGTGACTGTTGTTAATGAGCCGTACCTGTGTGCTAAGTTTGTTGACAGGTTTCATCACAGCTTGAAAGGAAGGCCACTGACAGAACCCATACGACTGGTCACCTTTGTGGAAACCGCTGTGGGCCTGCTGAATTTTAAGGTAAATAACCAAACAAATCCCCTCCTCCTCCTCCTCCTCCTCTTTCTTCACCTCCCCAAAAAACTGCCTATGTAAGAGATTTTGCCCCATTGTTCACTTTAGATTAAAGACTGTGTCGGTGAACTAAGTGCACAGCTTCCTGTTTCCAAAATGAAAGCTTTAGGACAGTCTCTTAAAAACAAGCCTTTTGAGTTGTTGTTTTTTTCCCTCTTTTTTTTATTTAATTATTTTATTTCCCTTCTGTTTGTGTGTCTGTCTCTCTTTTCCAGACATGCTGATATTTTTTAATTAAAAGTCCTTTAATGGCATCATAAAGGAAAAGTTCTTAACAATGTTTTGGCAGGCATTAAAGCAATTCCTGTCAAACAACAGCACAACCTCCAGCTACATGGGGAAAAGGCCATGGCTTTTGGGCATTTGGGGAGAAACAAGCTGTCATTCCTTTATTTTTGATTTGTCTTTTAAAAGACGACTTTCATTTTCTGTTTGTGAAAAAGATAGACGACTTTCATTTTCTGTTTGTGAAAGAGATAGAGTGTGTGTGTGTTTTTGTTTGTTTGTTTTTGAAAGTGGGGTTTTCTTCTCTGTGTTCTTCCTGTGATCTCACTGTTTTTGCCCAGATTGAATCAAAGGTTGCAAGAATGAAGAAATCTCTGGGACACAGTCAGTGGTGAAATTAATTTAGACGCCGACGAAAACAGTAGACAACACAGTAGTGTTCCCATTGTTTGGCTTTTCTAACCACAGACAGTCAGTGGTGCAGTTGATGTAAACAGCACCAATGTAACCATGTAAAATTAATGAAAAGAAACACGTCACGTCTTCCAGAATCCAGAAGACACATTTTAATTATATCATGGTGTAGTGTAGTGTTGCGGGCCGGATTGGACTGCTCCGTGGGCTGAATTTGGCCCACGGGCTGCCAGTTGAAATTTCACTGGTGTAAACTAAAGAGTTCTTTGTACAGGGGATGTGTGTGCAAGCTGACTGACTTGAAGTGTTTATTTCTGAGGAAGGATGGGCATCAACAGATGAAGTATAAATTGTGGTCTAAATAAAAAGTTTGTTATATTTTAAATCACATCAAAAACTGATAACTTATATCCCCAGAACCATAACCTTTTTAAAGTTCATGTTTGACAGATTCCTGTTTATATGCAGATACATTGAAAGAGAATCTGTTGTGATGATGTCAAAAACTCTTATTGTTTGAGCTGCTGTTGGAGATTTGTACACTCCGAACAAGTATAATTAGATTTCTTCAGCTGTATTTGTGCCAAGATGTCCAACATTTCTTTCTTCTTCTTTGCATTTGTGTCACTGCAGTCAGACTATATTATGTTAATGTATGTATTCTCACCGCAGGTGGTGTGTGAGGAAATCCGTCGACTTGCTCCAAGTGTTGGTCTTCACCACGACGGTGTGGTGTTTGGGTCTGATGACTTCTGTGCCAGCATAGGTAGCTGTTTAAATCATTTAATAACTTTTCAATGTCATTTAACATAGTGACATTATCAAGTTTAGAGTTTAGCCTAAAGTTCTAAAATGAACCCAGAAGCAGTCTATAATTTGCCAAAATAGCTACATCAAATTGAATATTAGTTCCATTTAAATTAACCTAAAAAATGTCTTAAAAACAAATTATGTCAGTTTAGAACTTCCACTTCTTAAATATGTCATGGAGAACTATACCTTTTGTCGATGAATTTTGTTTAAGCTCTAAATGTAGTTCTGTTATTTGTCAAACACATGTGCTAAATCTACACTTCTTCAGGTGCCACCCGGACCAAAGATGCTAGAGAACTCCTTTACGCCAGACAGAAGGTGGTCGTAACCACCAAAGCTTTCGGACTACAGGCTATAGACCTGGTCTACATAGACTACAAAGATGAGGCTGGGCTCAGGCAGCAGGCAAGAGAGGGAGCTCTCATGGGTTTCACAGGTGAAGTTTCTCTTTGTGTCCTTATTGGTCCAATGTCTGCATTTACTTGCTATTTATTTTTAAAAAGATACCTCCATGTTTGAGTTCATTACATTTATAATCTAATGCATCTGTGCCTGTACATGCTGCTTGCTCACTTTGTTTAAGGAAACGTCAGTCCAGTAGCTGGTATGTTGCAGCATACAATCCCATGTGATAAAAGTCATCCCAAATGTTGGCAGTTTTTTTTTTTTTGATGCCTCTGTGCCAGTACAAAAAGAACATGACGCCCACTTACACAGCTCTAGCAGAACTAATTTGATACAAACAAAATACAACAACAACAATAATAATACAAATCAACATTAAAAAATTGAAATGTTGTATAACACTGTAGGGTTTCTTGTTGGCTAATAAATAAGTGTGTCTGCACTTTCACTGACCTGAAAAGCAGAATGCTAATTTTGCTACAATTTTCACTGATCGTCAGTGCGTACTTGTCTGTAAACAAGTGTGTTATGATCTTGCCAGTCCTTTTTCTCATGACCATTTTCAAACATGCACTTTTCGTGTGAAGGCTGTTGACGTGAAGTAATGAGTAGAAAAGCTAATTAGTACGGTCTACAGCCGATCAGTGAAATAAATGGTCAGATTTAATATAGAACACACCGTTCAAAAAGCTGGATTATGATCTTACAAACCCTAAATACCTTGTATTGTATAATCCTGGTAGTTGTTACCAGCCTGAACATGCTTAAGCTTATACCTGTAATTGACTTTGGAACTGCTTAAGCCTCAGTCAACACCCATTAGTCTCTGATAAAAAATTAAGACCAGCAATATATGAGGTAAAACAAGGTAAAATCATGCCCCAAAAAAAAAGCCAACATAGAAGGATAATTGTACTTATCAAGAAGATTACACAGCACTGTAGTTTTTTAGGTCCCACGTATTCTATTAACAGCGTCTAAGCCCCTCTTAACACACACATCTCTGGTTTCAGGGAACAGTGTTTCACTTTCACTCATCTCCAGGACCCTGCCCATCATTCGCCTGAGAGCACTTTGCTAAAGAGCAAACCTACAGTGAAACGCCAGAACCACATGGCAGGCCATGATTGGCTGGAGGGAATGAGAGATGTTTTTTAGGAGAACCAATGGCTTGTAACCGAAGGCAACTGAATATTTCTTCATTCCTGTTGTCCCGTGGTTGACACACACACATGCACAAATGCTCGCACACAACCATCGTGTTGTGAACTTAAACCTGCCAATTTCAATGAAAATCTGTCATCAGCCTTGAGGTATAGCAGGTGGGAGAGAAGGGATAAACACACCTCTGAGCAACACACACACACACACACACACACACGTATACACTCACATGTAAAGGACGAAATACACAGTGTTAGTAGTGACACAGGGCGGCACAAAACACACCATGAGACATCAAGCTTTTGGTCCTGAAGAGTCCTCAAGGTGTTTATTCAACAGAAAGAGTGCAGTTAGTTACAATGAAGGATGGGTAACCTGGTTTTAAATCACTCTGAGCGGTGAGACGCTTACTGACTCACCACATGTCACTCTGACTATTAAAATTCAGCTGGTGATATTTCAGATTTTCACATCAGATAAATATGATGCTTTTTTAAAATTGTACAATAATATGTTGTGAAGTTACTTTATTTAGATTTTGATTAATTCAAATAATCCAAAATGACCTGTCTACCTTTAAGAGCAGTAACACTAAAGTGAACTGAATGGATGGAGAGTAAACCTGGAGAAAGAGCCAGAGGACAATGATTTCAAGTTAGTTGCACTGAACCATGGGAGTTCACCCCAGCTGTCTAGGCCAACTATAGGACAATTTAAGATACAGCCTTTCTTTAGGTAAGGTCAGGAATAACTGTACCAGGTTAAAGAAAATTATGGCTGCATTAAAACACAGAGCATAGAAAAAATGCAATGAGAGGGAAAGAAAATTAGGAATAAAGGACTTTTTTAATGAAAAAGTTTGTTTTGACTGAGAAAGCAAATGTCTTTTAGATGAGTTAATATAATTAACTTTAAAAATTGGCCTTTTTCTAATTTATTGTGTGATTGAATTACAACAGTATTTTGGTGTATTTCTATCTTTTTATCTAACAATCAGTCCTTGATTTCAGTGTTTCCTTGAATCAATATTGGTCAGAATTGAATCTCATTTTTTCCATTTTTTCTTTTCTTTGGTTTCAATAATAAATGATCACACATCAGTGGAGCTCATCATTTAGTTTATTATGTTTACACGTCTTATTGGTGAAAAATTTGTACTGCAGCATGTTGATAGTCCAACTGCAGCTTCTGTATTTTCTGAGGTTAACCTGGGTGAGCTGAGCTGAAAGAAGGGAGTGGATTCTCTCCTCCCATTTCCTCCCCTCCTCACCTCTTTTCTTCCTGCCCCCTCTCTGCCACCACCTTGAAGGATTTGTTTTTTTGGCCAGGAGACTAAGCCTTAAAGTGTTGAGTTCCAGCTGGCAGACGCTGAGCCGTCGTTCTCACCAGTCATTTCATAACCTTAAGTTATCAGTACAAGTTGTATCTGCAAACGAACACGGGATTATGTCTGCGGCAGTCGTCCATGTTTATCTGAGAGGAAGTGGGAGCAGTGGGGCAGAAGGAGGGCGTGATGCTTTTGTCAGCTGCATAAAATGTTGTAGTTTGAATGATGTCCAATGATGATGGAATTCAACAGTAAAATATGTGTTAAAATTTGTATTCCTTGATTGTTTGAACATGTTTTGGTTTTTATATATATTTTTACCCACATTATATATTTTACTGTTAAAATTGCCTTTTGCGCTAACAACTGCGAATTTATCAAAGCTTTACTTTTTTGCATCTGTGTTTTTGTGTTTGCAGGTAAACAGGTCATACACCCAGGTCAGATCCAGGCTGTTCAGGAAGAGTTCTCTCCAAGTCCAGAGAGGGTCCAGTGGGCCAGAGAGCTTATTGCTGCCTTTGAACACCATCAGGAAGAGGGCAAGGTAATATCCTCTGTCGTGAAAACATAGCTTTAAAAACAAAACCTATAAATAAATAGTTTTTCCTCAAATAAAAATATCAAATGTGAAAAAAATCACTCTAGCACTTGTATAAGTATGATACTTATATAAATATAAGTATGATACTTGTATAAATATAAGTATAAGTAAATATATTTTATTGTAAATGTAATATGTCATGGTTGAATTTAATAAATTGCTTAAAAGGGTTTTGGTAAGATTAATATCACAGTCTAAAAAATGGAAATTATAAGTAAATATAATAAAGTAAAGTATAGTAGTAGAGTGAAACTATTAAAGAAATAACAACTTTATTTAACTAAAATATTAAAGAAATAAAACTTTCGGTTTAAAAAATGGCTAAATGAGATCTTTCAAAGTAATTAAAAGCTGAAATGTTGGCTAAAATCTAAACATTGAAAGATAGGAACAGTGTTAGTGTTAGAACCAAGCCAAAATAAACCACTGATGGCAACAATACATCTACAAGAGTATGACAGGAAATGTGGGTGTTTGTATGTTGAGAGAACGTGTGTGTGTGTGTGTGTGTGTGTCTGTGCCTCATTGAAACCCAGACTGATCTCCTCTTGTGAGTTTCCTCTCACATAAGTCTGCAGTTTCACAGAATGCGTACTGTACACCCCTGGGTGACTCTCAGCGTCATCGCAGGGATGACCAGGGAGGGGGGCTGCTGAGCAAATTAAGTGTACAATATTATTGTCCCTAATTTAGTGCATGGTTGGATCCTGTGTGTCGAGCTCGGTGGGTTATCTGCTGAGGTAATACACAATCTGCCCACACCTCTCCCTGCCAGGGCTGCTCTGACTAAGAATCGCCCGAGGGATTCATATCCAACCCATCCCTCTGCTGTAGTGTGTGTTTGTGAGCGTGTATAATGGTTTAAACAGTGAGCAGGGTCAGGCTCTTTGTCTAACATGACAGGTGCTTGCTTTTCATAATTCTCACTTCTAGCCACAGAAAACATCTTTGGCTTGTTCCTTTTAATGGTAGTTTAATGGTAGTTTACACATTCATTTGTGACACTCTTCAGTGGCGTCACATGTTGTTTGTTTTCATGTGCTTTACAGTACACATATGGTGTGGGACATTTTATAAAAACGCATTTCTGAACATCCCTGTCCACTGGGATTGTAATCCTCTATGCTCTGTTGGCGGAAGTTAAACCTGTAGTTTGTTTCTACCGCAAATATATATATTTATTATAATTGTTACTTGTTAAACAATGGAGGCACGGCAACAAAGGGTCAGTAATAAAAAAATAAATAAATGTGAAGTTCTTTGGATAAAATAAGCAAGAGAGTCGCTTTTGAGTATTGCTGCCAAGTTTAGATTATCTTCCATAGCATTTAATCAAATGAGACAAAAATACAAGCGTTGTCAGCATTTAGATACTTTTTAAAGAATGATGGAAAAAGTAAAGTGTGTGATAGAATAGTCATTATTGTCATTATAACACAGGGGTACAATGAAATTGAGGATTAAAAAAAAAAAAAAAAAGACGTAAAAAACACAAAAAGGTGCAAAGTAGTGTGGATCCAAGTTCTTTGGATCCAAAGAACGTTGTCCCCAGAGTGAAACACAGGTGTAAAAATAGTGCTATGAATTCCTCATTACATCAAAATCTATAATTAGGAGTGATGTATAATTTGATATGATATAAAGGACTGATATGATTACACAATGAATAATGACCAATGAGTAACATTTGCAGGAGGACATGATCTTGGTCCTCACTTTGTCAGAATATTTCTTTGCCTAACCACATTGGTTGTTGACAGCAGAATAACAAACTTTTATTTATTGAACTTGTTATTGTTCTATATATAAAATTCTAATGTTCTTGTGCAAGTGTGATTAAAAATGCTGGGTTCCAAGGCCTTACATGAATGTCATATTAATGTCCTCAGCTGTGAAGACATTTTCTTGTTGATGAAATGTTTTCATAAGTGTCTCCTCTGATGTCTCAATTTCTGCTCTTGCTTCTTGTTGCAAAACTGTTCAGGGTGCGTTCACCTTCTGTGGCAGCATGATTGACATGCCGTCAGTGAAGCAGGCACAGAACATCCTTACACTGTCGGACGCAATTCAGAAGAAGTAGCACACATTTGGGAAACAAGACGGGAGGAATCCCAAAGTCTGGATGTTGGTTACATTGTGGGACTTCAAAGAAATAACTGATTTAATTTCTATACAAGAATAAAAAAGTGAAATTGTTTGTTGCAGTGTGAAAGTATGCGGTGCATTTGTGGACTTGTGAGTCGAGGCAGTTGCAGTTGGATTTTCTTTTTTTTTTTTGCCCGTGATTCCTCAGATGGATTCAGCGGCACACACTCTGCATGTAGCATCAAGAAACCTTTGGAAATCAAATGACGGAGTTTTCTTCCCCACTAAGGCACTTTCTTGGCAGTGTGTGTGCGCCGTCACAACACTCTCCTGTGTGTTTGTGTGCCCGAGCCTCTGATCACATCTGAGTCATGATGAATGCTCTCACATCTCCACGGTCCAAGCAGCTGGGCGAAAGGGTAAACAAACACAACAAGCCGCTGTTGTGGAACTATTCATCGGGCCCCCAGCCTTCCTAGTCGGGCCTCAACCCCCTGCTCAGAGGCCTAGCTCCCAAACATTGAACTTCTTGCTGGCTGTAAAGAAACAAACCACCGATAAAAGTGTGTTAACTCGCAATTTAGCTTTTTTTCTTTTTTCTGTGTCAGACTCTTTAGTAAAGACAGGCAGCTCTCTCTGTGGAAGCTGCAAGCACACAGTCTTGATGGAGAAGGCGTGCAGTGACAGACACACCGTGACCTGCACGGAAAAAGAAAAAAAAAGATACACTGCTGCAGCAGAAAATTCTACCTGATCTCTCATTTAAAACCAGTTAAACTGGCGGGGTTTCAGGTACTGCCTCTGTACAATCCTATCATTAGAATAATACAAAAGGACAGCGTTTAATCATCCGCGTATGTGAGGATAAAAAGGCTTCTGAAAGGCTTCAGTGAAGTAGTTTGTTGTGCTGCCACAAATACAGATACAATGGTGCTTTGTGGAGCTCTTTGTGGAGACACATGTGACTTCCAGAGACAGTGAAGTGGGTGTGATGTTAACAGTGAGACAGATTAGTGGCCATGTTGCTCCAGCAGACCAGGACCGAGGCTTTTGTCTCTCTTGACTGTGGATGGGAGGATAATTGGGGGGGTGTTGAATGGTTAATAGTGCCATTGGTGACCATGGTAATGAAAGGCACCGAGCCTCCTCATCTCTCCCTCCCTCTCCTTCTCTCTCTCTCCGTCTTTTTCCCCCCTTTCCCCCCCC